TAATTAATAAAAATATACTAAAGTCTCACATCCTAAAGAATACGCGTTTACTTTTTGTAAAATACTTTTAAACACAACATTATTCACATCCTAAAGAATTCGCGTATACTTTTTTTATCGATTTTTAATACAACTTTATTGAAAATTATCTTAATTCAAGAAGGTCCTAAGTGATGGACTTGTTTTAACATTTTTCTAGTGTTCCAAGAATTTTTTGGGCTGGTGGATGAAAAGGGGTCGCATTTTTGTGGGTGTGCGCTTTACACGCACATAATCCTCGACCGGGGACGCATCTGAATCTGAATCAGAATCCGCATCCGACTCCGAATCTCATATCAGATTTGTCGCTATCGCCATCGCCATCGTGGTCTAAACGATTGATGGCACTCGTCGACATCGTCTGCCCTGTCAAAAATCCACATCCACATCCTCGTCCACGTTCATGGGATAAACCCCCTTCGCACTGGGAATTTCGAAAGTGTGCTCGGGGTTTTCTGGTGAGGAAATGATAAATTGCGCATTTGGGAGTTTTAAAGGTCAATTTAGGGGTTAGTCTCACACTCTCTCGATTTCGAAACAAACTGACTGACAGATGAACGAACGGATGGCTGGAGGTTTAGCCAGATATGGTTTAAAAAGGGTGGCTAAATAGGGTCTCAAAAATAGCTGTACACTTAACGTATTATATTATAAACAAAATTAAAAATAGATAATCCATTTTGTAAACTCTGTGAGTTAAATTAATAAAAAGAATTAAACCGCGAATTCTTTAGAATGTTACTAATGTTATTTTTATAAATATATAAGAAAGTAAACGCGAATTCATTAGAATGTAAATAATTTTGTATTCAAAATTATCTTAAATGGATTAAGTTATAGTAACTTTCTGATAGATTTTATATTCCCTAGTTAGCCCGAACTTTTTGTTATTTTTTGTCATTTAAAATAGCTAGATATTTCTAAAAAGTAGCCAAACAGACACCTCTTGAAGGGCAGACAAGGACTTCCGCCGCCCATAAACAGCGACACTTCAAAGTTAACTCGCCCAATAAAAAGTCCATGTGCGAGTACGACTTACGGAAAGTAACAGGGTTGCACTCGAGCGGTACTCGGGTTCGTTTTTGGGTTTGGGTTCGGGGTCTGAAGAGGACTCTACACTCCATTGGGGGGATGAGGTAACTGCGTAAACCGAATTTGCTTATGGGATTTGTCTAGTGCGCCTGTTGACTTGCCAGTTGGCGTTTATATTAATGGCTCAGGTTGGGCTCGTTTCAGTCAACTCAACTCCTTTTTATTCTCCCCCGGATTGTTAGATTGTTAGGGATCGTTGCGAACTGACGCGTGCCCGCTTTTTTCGGGTTTGAGTTAGGGTTTCCATTTAGGGGTTTCGGGGTGGGTTTTTTACTTCTTTTTATCCTATATTTTTTGGGTTGGTAAGCGAAATAAGGTGCCTAAATGGGCAGGTAAATCATAACTGTAACGATGATGACAGACAGTTTGTCTGGGGAAAACGAGAGTTCGGGAAAGGGGTTGTCCATTTCCCATGACCGATTTGTAATGTTTATTTAGCTAAAAAATATTATTTTTAATCTAAAAGTTAAGCTGAATATTTACTATCATAATTAATATACTTGTATTATTTAAATATTCCTTTATCTTCCACTTATCCATTAATTTATTAAACAAATTGAAGAACAATTGTAAATGTAATTGTAATGTTTGGTCCCAGCATTCAGTTCTTCTTCCTCAGTTCCCAGCCACGCCCCCTGACAGCCCTTCGAATCCCCTTAATTTGTTTATCAATCTGGAATTGGAATTGGCTTGCAAATGACATCTCCGGACTGCCTCCAAGCCAAAACCCCTTTTGCCTGCACATTTCCCTTTCATCCTGTTCCCAAGCAAGTGCCACGCCCACAGCCGAGTCCTAGTCGCATTCCGCCCCCATAACCGTGACATTGGACGGAAGCAGCGACGTAGCGCCGGAAGTGACAAGCACTGTGGGAAAATATTACTGGATTTGTGGAATATAAATAACATGGAATAGAGGTGAAAAGTGAAAGGAAATGTGGTATTCAAAAAGTATCCAAACAAGTAATGAACTCCTCTTAATACTTAATTTTTTACTACATATCATGATTATTATTGGCATTCACTTACAGACAGTTTTGACAAAAAACAATACGTTAAAATCCAATCAACTAAATTAAAATGCAGTTTTGTTGATTAAATTTCGTAATGGGAATTCCTCTTTTTTTAATGCTAAATAAATTTACTTTTAAAAATCATAAAAATATTAAGAACAATTTATTATATTATTTTTATATTTCGGTAAAGAAGTTTTTTTAAAGGAATACCCCTTTTTTAAATCCAAAATAAATGTTCTTTTTAAAAATGACTAATATTACGATTATTAAAAAATGTTAGAAGAGGGGCTATACCATTTTCCTCAGTGTGACCTTAGCGTCTGGTTTTTGGGTCTCCCCGTGCCTCAGCACGTGTAAAAGTTTGTAGCTCCGGTCACGTGACCGCACGTGTCCCGCCAGTCGTCCGCCCACCCAAAACCGAAACCAAACGGGAAGCGACACCCCCGATAAGGAGTGTAACCCTGTCCAGAAATCCAGAAATGCAGAAATTCAGAGACTCAGCGACTGGGCCGCCGTGATAAGCGCAACCTGACAACTCGGCGCGCGTGTTCCTGAGGAGATGTCAAAGACCAGGTCCTGAAATGCTGGATTTCTGGTTCTGATTCTGGTGCTGGTTCCATATCTTTATGGATCTGGGATGAAAGGCGGTCCGACCTTCCATCATTGATGGTTTTGTTAGCGTAAATATCTTAATTCACCGCTTCGCCGCCCCCGACACGTGTGAATCGTGTGCATTTGACATGAGAATCGCTTCCCGTTTTCCGTTTTCCCTTCTCAGTTTTCCCACTTCGTTTTTTTTTTCTTTCGTCTTTTAAAGCGGAAAAGTGCTCCGAAAAAAATACATAATTCGCGCAATTCACTCTCCCAACGGGATTTAACGAGCTTACAATTAATGTATAATCCTGTTTTGGGAACATCCTTGTACAGGAAGTGGAAACGTGGGAAGTTTTGGAATTACTTTCAGTTTGGGTGTTGGCAATTATTATATTGGCAATTGACAGCTCGTCAAGATGAAGTCTCATGTTTTGCATCTATTGATCTTGGGCTTAAAGGTTATTTGGATAAAAACTAAAATTATAAATTATTGGATTTATTTGATTTAAAACAAAGTAATATTACATTTTTTTATATTATGGATTTTGTAAAATTTGCTTGTCGTTTATATTTGTAATCTACTTGTAGAAAGTTAAGTTAGAAATATAAAGAATTTTTTAAAGCTTATTTCAAATAACTTATCTAAATCTTAAAGTAATAAAATTGGATTGTCGTCTTTATTTTTAATCTCTATAAAGTTTGATTTTTAGCTAAAATAAAAAAAAATATTTATAAGATTAATTCATATAAGTTATCTACATCTAAGCCAATTATTATTATATTATCAAACCATTGTTAAAAATAATATTCAAGAAAATAAAATTCCAACTAAATATTGTAAATCCTGTTGTTGTCATTGTATTTATTTGTCGATATATTCGTAATGTTCTTATAGAAAGTCAAGTTAAGTTAAGAATTTAAGTACAAAAATATTAATAAGCTTAATTCAATCTTAAATCAATGATCTAAATCTGAAACCAATAATACCAATACATTTTTTTTAAATATTGTAGAAGTTATTGTATTCATTGTAATATAACTAATATTAATATTCCGAGAAACCTTGACCTGCTCTCCCCCCGAAAATGAAAACAAAAAACATTACCACCCCAGTTGTAGTCATTCAAAGGCAGTCACACACATGTGCCCACTGCAATCACATTTCCATTCCCATTTCCACTCCCCTTCCTGATCACATTTTCCAAACACCCCTCGCTGGTCGGCAGTTAAGTTTCAAATTACAAACCCAATTGATGCTAGTTAAAAAATCTGTGCAGGTTTTGCGTTACCATTTGGATTTGGGTTCATCTCCATCTTCATCCCCGATTCGGTTTGCCAGGTTTGTTGTGATGCACTCGTGACAAGTCCGATTAGTCCTTTTCCCCTTCCATCCCCGTTACTCCGATCCTACGATCCCGATCCATACCCATCCCCATCCTGATACCGATTTCGAGCCACCTTTTGTTGTGGAAAGTGTCAACACAGCCATCTATTTTATGCATAATTTGGTGTGCCAAAATGCGCGACTCATCAAAATGGTGTCATATGTTTTTATCGAGGGGAAGGAAACAAGGACCGGCAGGCGAAAACAATGGGAGGATACGGGGAATGTTTGTCTGTCGCCTGCGGTTTCCGATTCCCAGACAAGTGAAGGGTGCAACCGGTTTGGGAAAATGTAAAAAATAAAACAAACATAGGGTTTCGGCAGAGTTCGATTAGAAAAAATGACGACAAACTTAAAATTTGGCAACAATTTATGCAAATATAAAGGAAAAATAAGCCAGAAAAATCCAGTATATTTAATATTTTATATATAAAACAAGGTTTATCCCAAATTAAGAATCTATCTTATCTATCTATCTATTATCTAAAATTTATTAAATTTAAATTCAATTTCTTTTTCTCTATTTAAATGCGACCAAAACTGAAATCATAAATTTAGTGCGCCGGGTTGCTGTACTGGCTAAGCGTTCCCAACTTAACGAAACTTGCACTAAAAATTAAATGGTTTGTGTCCTGACTATATCTAAATTCGTTTCCCAACTTAACGAATCGTATAACACTCTAAGTAGAGCTTTACTCCCCTTTTGAAGATCTCAGATCTAAACTTACAATCTTAAATAGCAAAAAAAATAATTTAAAATAGTTTCCAACATAATTCCACAATAAAGTTATGAATATTTTTCCAATTTGTATTTCTTCATTTTATTTCTGAATTTCTGTTTATTTTGTTACATATTTCAAACATTTGAATCTTTCAATCTATACATCTGTGTCCAATTGGCAAATGAAATTGACTCGTTCACTGCAGTAATAATCTCCCATAAAGCCGCCGTTCTTAAGCTGAACGCACTTTCCTGCGTTTTCGGGACTCTCATCGTTCCACTTGAGGAATACAGCGGGTTTACCCGAGGCCACGGAGGTGAACTCGCCTTTGTGACCCTCATCGCTGATCCCCAGGTGATACCAATCGTTCCTCAGCTTCAGTTGGATGGCCGCCAGCTCCTCCTCGTTCTTCAGCGCCGCCAAATGGCCGTTAATCTTGCGACAGATGTCGGCAGCCGAAGCCCAATCCACCTCGAGATTGTGCTCTATATAGAAGTAACGATCGAGGATTCGCTCGAACTTCGGCGGAATGTTTTGGATGGCAGCGGGTTCCGGGTTCCGGTTCTCCTTCTCGGCTAAAAGTGTCCTCAGGGATTCCTGCAGGGAGACCAAGGTGTTCTGAATGTCCTGCAGCTGTCCCTCCGTTCCGTTCAGTCTGGCCTCCAGATTCTCCTGCAGATCCTGCAGCGATCCTTCGGGCAGTTGGCAAACCAAATGGTCAGCATCCTTGGCGCCGCTTACCAACGAGGTGCCAAGAAGCGCCAGGACAACGAGAGTCCAGAGGAAATAGGATTGCATCTTGGACTTTTTAGAAATACCTGTTCTAACGTACTGAACAAAATCCGTGTGCCAAAGCCGCAAAGAAAGCTTCCATCTCGCTGATAAGTAGTTAATGGGGATCAACGACTTTGTGACTTTTGGTTATCAAAATTCAAGGCCAAGTTTTCTATTTTCTATTTCTAATTTCTAATTTGCAAGTAACAAAAAAAATATCCCCCGTAAAATATGACGCAGGTTTGACTAACCTTAAAAGCTTTATTACGATAAAGAACTAAAGATGCTTATTTCTTGCGCTCGTAGCGGAATTTGTAGACGGGCGCACTCTCCTTGGTGCCGCCCTTCAGTTTCCGGGGCTTCAGAAGACGCGGCTGCTTGAGCGCGTTCTTCAGCTGAATCTTCTGCTGGACGATGGCCAGCTCCCTTTCGCGAACCTCTCGTTTCTTCAGCTCGTTGATGCGCTGCTGTTTTGTGGAGTTTGGTGGTTCCTAAGAAAAAAGAAAGTAGAGTGAAATAGTCTCTTTAATTGCTAAAAAAATATGTATTATGTTCTTCTCGTCCGCCTGTTAAATGTAAAAGAAGCTTTAAACACTGATTTCCCATACGATTTCATGGTTTTAACCGTTCTTTAAATTGAAACCTAATAATATATTGTAATAGTATATAAATATCATGTTATTAGTTATTAAAGTAGTTATTAAAGTTATTAAATCTCTTGGATAAATGTTCTTCCGATAAGCAAAGTAATTATTATAATACATCCATCTCTCCAAGATTCTATAAGACCCCTAAGATCATTTTCACAAGGTCTAAACTATCTTCAAGGTAACCCAAAAATAGTTATAGATGACTTATAAACACACTAGTTGCCGTTTTCTTATCCCCAGGTTAAATTAAAAGCCGCCGTACATTTTTAAAACTTAACTGCTACTTTAAGGGCCGTTTTCTCGACCTTTTGTTAAATTTAAAGTAGGGTTAAAACCTTGAAATCGTATGGGAAATCATTGGTTTAAAGCCTAATTGAAATTTAACAAAACGGACGAAAAAACGACCCTTAACCGCTACTTTAAATTTAACAGACGGTCGAGAAAACGGCCCTAAATTTAACAGACGGTCGAGAAAAAGGGCCAAAGAGGAAGAAACCCTAGTTAGTTAGATCATCGTCCACTCACCGGCTTCTTGTCCGCCGCCTCGAGCCGATCGCCCAGGGTCTCGTCCCACATGTTGCCCTCCTCGTCGAAGGTGTACCGCTGGTTGCCCGCTCCGCCCGCCGTGGCGGCGTCCACGTCCACCAGGGTGGCCCTCAAGCGGTCGATCTTCTTGCGCTCCATGGTGCGCTTCATGACCACGTACTTGAGGTCCTGCGTCTCCATGAGCGCCAGCTGCTCGGCCGTGTGCTCGTCCTTCTTCTCCTGCTCGCGGTGCTCGTCGTTCGAGAGCTTCGAGTTGATCATGTGGTGGTAGAACTCATCGGGATTCTTGTTCTGCGCCCGCCGGTACAAGAGCTTCAGGGTCTTCTGCTTCTTCTGGGCGTCCAAGGCGCGCTTCTTGTAGTCCTGCTTCTTCTCGAGGAATCCCAGGTGCTGGCGCGCCTCCGGCTGGTGGCGCTCCCGGTGCACCTTCTGGTTGCTCTTCGAGGCCTTCTTCCACGAGGACATCTTGTTGGCAGGCTATAATCCTTCTCCGGCAGCAATTAAATGGGATGGAGATCCGTTTGTTTTGGTTTGGATTCGTTTGGCTCGGAAAACGTGATGCTCGGCGTGAGAATTGGCGATGGGCCACCAAGCGATAGTTTCAGTCACTTGGAAAACGTGATTTTTGAAATTTAAAATTGGGAATTGGAGATGTCACTTGGAAACCGTGATTTTTATAATAAATTCTTGGGGCAGCATAAAAAATGCTACAATTGTGATTGTTTTTATAATTGTAGTAATCAAAAAACTATACAATTAAAAAAAAAAGATAGTACATTAAAAAATGTATCTAATAAAATATGAAGTATGAAAAATACAATATAATCATCAGATATCAGATATAAAAATAGTTTAAACTTTAAAGTTAGAAAAATCAAAAAAAAAAAAACATTATATCACTTGAACAGGATAAGTACAAAAGCACCAACTACTTTACAACTTCAGTAATTTCATATATTTAAGTATTTCAATAAAAGTATAAAAATTGGTAAAAGTTATGAATTATAAACAATAATACTAGTAAGTTGAAATTTTTAGGCTTTCAATGTATTCCTCTTTTAATCATAAGGGGGATTCCCTAAACTGTTGAATTGCTGAATTGTTGAATTTTGGTGAGCTGTTAATCAGCTGTTCCATACAAAGTCAAGTTTCAGAAATTTCAGCAATTCAACAGCCTCGGGGCTGATGAAAATTTTGTTGAATTGCTGAAAAGCCAGAGTTGTCACCTTTTTTTAAAAGTCGTGGCAACCCTGTAACATTTTAGTATCACCAGTACGTATTATTTATTTTAAAATCAACTTAGAAAGCATATTTGTGGTTCTTTTTACCTTTATAACACTTTTAGATAGTAACTAGCAATAATAAATCAAATTTTACATGCTTTAAGTTCCGTAAAATTTTTCAACAAATAACAGCTGTTTGAAAATTCAACAGGAACCATTTTGGGTCGTTCCCTTAATTGCTGAAATTTTTTGTTGAATTTTCAACAATTCAGCAATTCAACAGTTTAGGGAATCCCCCTATAAATTGTTAAGTTAACAACCAACTGTGACTTTCGTGACAGCGGCCCAAAGTATCGGCATCGCGACTATCGATTAACCGGCCATCTCTAAACCGCACACGTGCATTTTGAACGGCTGGGCATTTCCATCATTTCCATTGTTTTCACTTCGGAAAGCCGGAGTTTTTTAAGTGAAAAGTGGACACAGGACGGCCGCAGGATGGTGAAGAAGAAAATAGACAACCGGATACGCGTGATGATCGAGAACGGGGTGAAGCTGGGCCACCGCACCATGTTCATCGTGATCGGGGACAAGGCGCGCGACCAGGTGCCCATTCTCTACGACATCCTGACCAAGTCGACGGTCAAGGCGCGACCCACGGTCCTCTGGTGCTACAAGAACAAGGACGAGGCCATTTCCAAGTGGGTATTCCATTCTGACTTGGTTCTTGAACCTTTACAACGGGGGGGTTATTCAAAAAGATCTCAACCAAACCAAGTCAACATGATAATATCTGGAATCCCTCGATGATTTACACAGAAATATATCTTTACATTAATTTTGAAACATATTTATACTGTAAATCTATTGATCTTAAAGAAGAACATCATGATCTTATCACAAAAAACCCTGATATTATGTTGTTCCTTTGGTCTTAATAGCTGTTATTCATATTTTCCATCAACCTGAACATTTGATACCTCTTGTATACCTTAAATAATATCCCTATGATCTTAATTTGAATGTAAAAATGCTGATGATGAAATGATAAAATGGAATCCCTCGATGATTTACACAGAAAATGATCTTACATTACGATCTAAGTGGTTTCTATGGAATTAATATCTGTAATATAGTTAAACTCTCTTGAAACATATTTATATTGCAAATCTATTGATCTTAAAGAGGATCATAATGATCTTATAACAAAAAATCCTGATATTTTGCTGTTTTTTTTGGTTTTAATAGCTGTTATTCATATTTTCCATTAACTTTAACGACTGATTCCCCTTGTATTTTGTAAATAATGTTAATATGATCTTAATTTTAATGTAAGAATGATATTAATAATATATAATTCTCTTTCAGTCATGGTAAGAAGCGCGCCAAGAAGATCGCCGTGGGCAAGGTGGACGTGAACGAGGCGGACCTGTTCGATTCCTTCCGCGTGGCCACCACCATTCATGGCCGTTACTACTCGGAGACGCACGCGGTGCTGGGACGCACCTACGGCGTCTGTGTGCTTCAGGACTTCGAGGCCCTGACGCCCAATCTCCTGGCGCGAACCGTGGAAACGGTGGAGGGCGGCGGCCTGATCATCCTGCTGCTGAAGACGCTGCAGTCGCTGAAGCAGCTGTATACGATGAGCATGGACGTGCACAAGCGGTTCCGCACGGAGGCCCACCAGACGGTGACCTGCCGGTTCAACGAGCGGTTGATTCTCTCCCTGGCGGATTGCAAGCGGTGTTTGGTGGTCAACGACGACCTCACCGTGCTGCCGCTCAGCTCCAAGACCATCAACGTGGAGCCAGTGAATGTAATTAAGCTTATCACGTTCTTATAAGTATGATTTGTTAACCTTCTAATCACTTTTAGCCCTCTGGCGCCGGTCGTTCGCCCAACGAGGGCAGCCTGAAGGAGCTGAAGGAGAGTCTGCTGAATGTCCAGCCCGCTGGAGCGCTGGTAAATCTCTGCAAGACCTACGACCAGGCCAATGCGGTGGCCCAGTTCATCGAGGCGCTGGTGGACAAGCAGCTGAAGCCGCCCATGTCTTTGACAGCGGCCCGTGGTCGCGGCAAATCGGCTGCCTTGGGCCTCTCGATAGCCGCCGCCGTGGCCTTTGGCTATGTGAACGTCTACGTGACCTCGCCGCATCCCGAGAACCTCATCACGCTGTTTGAGTTCGTGCTCAAGGGCTTCGATGCGTTGGAGTACCAGGAGCATGCCGACTACACCATCATACGCTCCACGAATGCCGACTACAAGAAGGCTATTATCAGGATCAATATAACAAGGAGCAGCAGGCAGACGATTCAGTATATAGCACCAAGCGATACGCATCTGCTGAATGCCGCCGATCTGCTGCTGATCGACGAGGCGGCTGCGATTCCCCTGCCGCTGGTGAAGAAGATGATCGGTCCGTATTTGGTTTTTATGGCCAGTACGATCAATGGCTACGAGGGCACTGGGCGTTCGCTCAGTTTAAAGCTCATCTCGCAGCTGCAGAAGGATAATAATGCGAGGCCGCCTCTGAAATTAGAGGAATCGATTCGCTACCAGGAGAATGATGACATAGAGAGGTGGCTGATTAACCTGCTCTGCTTGGATGCCAGCACAGTGCCGAGCATTAGTTCAGGTTGCCCCACGCCGGATGCCTGTGAGCTGTACTATGTGGACCGGGATGCCCTCTTCTCGTATCACAAGGCAGCCGAGGCCTTTCTCCATCGTTTGGTTTCCATCTACGTCTCCTCTCACTACAAAAACACCCCGAACGATCTGCAGATGATGAGCGATGCCCCGGCCCATCATCTCTTCTGCCTTTTGGGACCCGTTCAGCGAATGGACGCCCTTCCGGAGATTCTCGTCGTCATCCAGGTGGCTCTGGAGGGTCAGATCTCCGCCCAGAGCATCAGTGATTCGCTGGGCAGAGGGAAGAAGGCTGCGGGCGATCTGATACCCTGGAACATTGCCGAGCAGTACGGCGATCGGGATTTTCCCAAGCTGTGCGGAGTGCGAATCGTTCGGGTAGCCACGCATCCGAATTACCAGCGGATGGGCTACGGCAAGCGGGCGATTCAGCTTCTCAAGGATTATTATGCAGGAAAGAACACCAATCTGGAGGATAATCCTGCAATCAGCAGGGATGCTGGAATAGAGGAAGTGGAGGAGGAGGAGCTCAGCCTGTTGAAGGAGCAAATAAGGCCGCGCAGTCGGATACCCACTTTGCTGCAGCGACTGCATGAGCGATTGCCCGAATCGGTGGACTATATCGGCACCTCCTATGGCCTTACTTCCGATCTCCTCAAGTTCTGGAAGAGCTCAGGCTTTGTGCCGGTGTACCTGAGTCAGAAATCCAACGAACTGACCGCCGAGCACAGCTGCATTATGCTGCATACTCCTGCTAAGACCTCCTGGCTGGGTCTTTATTACCAGGATTTCCGGCGAAGAGTCCTCAAGCTGATGGGCAAAACCTTCAGGGAGTTCGAAACGAAGCTCTGTTTGGCCTTGCTGAAGAATAAGTCGGTGGATATGGAAAGCAGTGCCCTTGCAAACCTCGATAAACCCATGCTGGATGTCTTCTTCCTGCCGCATGATCTTCAGCGCTTGGAGAGCTACGCCCGCCAGCAGTCCGAGTTCCGCTTGATAGTCGATCTGCTCACGGACATTGCCCAGCTGTACTTCCAGGGCAGGATCGAGGGTCTCCAGCTGGATCTGGTGCAGCAGGGCATCCTCTTAGCTTTGGGAATTCAAGGCAAGACAGTAGATACCCTCGGCCTCGAGCTCAATATGCCGGGCAACCAGCTGCTGGCCAAGTTCTTCGATGCCATGAAGCGCTGCAATCAGTGCTTCCGCTCGATTCTCGAGCAGCACATCGAGGGCGGAATGCTGCGGGAGGAGGATCTGTCCAAGGGCGAGGAGCTGCAGCCGCTCAGCCTGTCGCTCGACAAGGAGCTCGATCAGACGGCCCAGAAGCTGAGCAAACAGCAGCGCAAGGAGCTCAAGCGACTGAAGGCCGAGCAGCTGGACGAGTTCCAGATTAAGGGCACCGAGGAGGACTGGTCAAAGGCGCTGGAAACAAATGGAACACCGGGCGGTGGCAGCGGGCTGCTCTCCGTCAAGAGGTAGGTGCGTTTAAAGTGCATCTTATAGTTTATATTTACACGATTTGCTCTCTCTTTCCTTTTCAGTGGCGTCAAGCGGCTGGACGGACCACTCGAGCAGCCCGAGGATCGGGAACTCAGCGCTCCGCTGGCCAAGAAGAAAAAGAAGGGCAATCCGAGACAGAAACGCGGTCAGGGCAAGTCCCTGATTTAAATCTAGAACTAGTTCTTCAAGTATGAATTTTAATGCTATAGAAAAAAGTACATATTTGTAAGCTCCGTTAAAAGTAAAGAAAAGGAAACCTAAACTAGATCTTGATGTCGGCTGCCGCCTTGGCTGCTGCGGCGGCCGCCCGTCGGCGATCCTTGAGGTCCTGGTAGCTGACGCCCGGCTCCTTGTGCGTGCTGCGCTCGTAGCGCTTGACCTTGGCCTTCTTGCGGCTAACCAGCTTGGTCGTGGGCAGCATATTGTTGCGCTGCAGCGTGTGGAAGCGATCCTTCAGCAGGCTGCTCTCCGTCTTCACGTTGCGCAGATTGCCGGCCACATCCTCGGGCAGATTGACATCCAGATCGGGCGCCTCGAACTTGTGACGCCCCAGACGCTTCGGCTCGAACTTGGCCTTCTCGGCGCGCTGCTTGCGGCGCTTCTTCAGCTCGTTGAGGTCCTCGGCCTCGTCGTCCAGCTCGTGGCGAATGGATTTGATGCTGCGGGGATTATATATATTATAAGGGGTTTTTAAAGGGCTAAGCTATGGCTTTACCGTATCAAATCAGCAGTCTGTTGCTTGAGCTTCCTCTTGAGCTCAGTTTTGCGCGCCAGCTCCTTTTGCTTGAGCTCCTTGCTGCGCGCCTGCTTGCTCTTCTTCTTGTTCTCCACGGGGGCGTTGACTGTGTGGTAGGGCTTGTCTAGGTCCTCCTCCTCCTCCTGCTTTTCCTGCTCTCCCTCCTCTTCCATTCCCTGGCTCATTTCCTGCAGACGACGCCTGTCGCGCTCCTCCGGCGTCACCTTGGAGAACATGCTGGTGGTGACGCGCTTCAGGTGCTGCTCCTTCTTGATGATGCCCTCCTCGCGCTCCACGATCTGCGAGATGAGCGCCAGGTGGTCCTCCGGAGCGGGATTGTAGCTCATTCCGGGATGGGGTAGCTCGAATTTCCTTGTTAAGACAGAAAGTAATCAGTAAAATACCTTTATATATATAGAAACTAACTAACTTGGCCTTGGTGGTCTTGTGGTGCAGACTGGCGTGCGTTTTCACCACCTTCTTGCCAATATTCCCAGCTGTGTGCAGGGCTAAATCGCGACTAATCCAGCCCTTTTTGTCCTTGAGCCCTGGGATGGCATCGCGGAAGTCCACCTCCTGCCAGATGTCCTTCTCCACCGAGAGCTTCTTGCTCCTCTTGTCCGCCAGCCGCTGCTCCAGCTTCCCGTAGTACTGCTCCCGATCCTTGTTGGCCTGCCGATGACGCGGCTTGGTGGGATTGCAGACCTCCAGCTCGATGTTGCGGCCGTTCTTCTTCTGGCGCACATGGTTGCTAAAAGGAAGGATATCTGATGAGGATCTGCAGAGCAGATGGATGACCTGCTAACCCACCGCTTGGCTATGGGATCCTGCACCTTGGATGTGTTCTCCAGCGCCTGATAAGTGCGCATGGGCCTCTTGGCGTTCAGCTTCCTCCGCTGTTTCACGCTCAGAACGGCGGCGGATTTGCCGGATTTTTCTGGGCTGGCATCCAGGACGAACAGATCCTCATCCTGCTTGTCCGTGAAGGTGCTGCAGGGATTAAATTAACCCATTTAGATTGCTTTTTTCCCAGATTGTTATGGGCGCACTCACCCGATTCGCTCCTCCTGCCGCTGATCCTCGAGGAACTGCTCCACATCCTGGATGTCTGTCTTGCGCCACGCCGATTTGTTCTTCTTCGAGATGCGCTTCCGCTTCGTCGCTGGCTCCACGGCCGTCATTTCTACGGATTATTTGGGGGAATGGTAATAAAACAGTGGAAATAACAAAAGTGCCCCAGCGGCACACGTGCAAGTCTGCCGGCGCTTTGCAACACTACCCTGTCGGGTTGCCCAACACTGGCGGTCAGCTGTTTAGTGATGGGCCAGTGACTAGTGATCACTAAATAGACAAAAATAAATAGATTTGTATTTTTAAACTGCAACTTTTTAAATATATCATATCTTTTTAAATCTCTCTTTTTTTAACATTAATATATAAATTTCTGGCTATAAACCAGCTGTTTAGTGATGGGCAGTCACTACATCACTAAATAGCCAAAAATAAATAGATTCAATCAGTTTTTTTACTCGTATCTTTAAGCTGGAACTGTTTAAAATTCTCATATCTCTTTAACTCTTCCCTTTTTTTAACATTAATATACAAATTCCTGGCTATAAACCCGCTGGAAACTGGCTTGAGTACCAAACTGGCTATAAACCCGCCAGAAACCAGCTTGCGCATCACTATCCCCTTTGTTTTTGTTTGTGTGAGCCACGAAACTGTTGCTGCTGCGTTTTAATTCACTTTTCATTTATAAGGGGCCCGCCATCCGAATTGAGAATCACAAGTGTTTGCGGCGAGCTGGCGGTCAAAAGGGCAAAACCATAAACGTCACCAGAATCGCACGCATTTTGTCAGGCGAAAGAAAGAAAGGCCGGTAAGTGCGGGCAGCGACGTCGACTGCGGAGCAGCAGAGACACCGACTGACGTGTACCAAACAAAAAGCGGTAAACAAACTTTTCCGCTCTTTTTGTTTTTTAATACCCTTGCTAGGGGTATTATAATTCTAATAACTCGCTTTGTATAGAAGTTGGCAATTCAAAACTTTTCCAATCGCTACTTTTTATAGTCAAGTAGATAATGTCTGAAAATCCTGACGATTGAACAAATATATCCTGAGATATCCTGAGATAAATTAAAAAAAAAAAAAATAAATATATAAATATATTCTAAGTTCAAAAATAAATTGTTATTATCATAATAATATATAATTATTATAATTATTATTATAATAAATACAACTATATTTTCCCCAATTTTTCTAATCAATTACAATTGCAAGGGTATATAATTATCGTCTTCATTCTAATTTGTCGCCTTTTTTCTATTTTTGTTTTTACTCGATTACGCCGTATGCTATCGCGCCCCGCTGAATTAGTTTAATTCGTTACAAATAGCAGATCGCGATCCCGGCAGCGACAGACACATTTTGGACGCCGCCACGATGAGCACCTTCCCCAGTTTCGCGGACATTTCGGCCCATTTCTCGGAGGCCACGCTGGACGAGATCATCCGGAACAAGGGCGGCACCCGGCACACCTCGTACAAATTCGGGCCGAGTGGGAAGAAGGGCGACGCCTACCTGAGCCGCGTCTTCCGGATCACCATCTACGGCGTCCGGGAGGCGGAGCAGGGCCAGGATGAGGAGCAGCTGGAGGTCAACGTGATCGTGAAGGCCATGCCCGATAATCTGCACCGGAGGCGCCTCTTCCGCTCGGTCATCTTCTTCCGCAACGAGATCCACTTCTACACCAAGGTGCTGCCGGCCGTCGAGGCCTTCCAGAAGTCCCGCCAGCCCGCCCCCAAGAAGCCCTTCGTCGAGTACCCGCGCTGCCTGGCCAGCCTGTGCGATGGGGTCAACGACTTCATCGCCCTGGAGGATGTGGGTCCCAGGGGCTACAGGGCGCCAGTGCGGTGAGTTGAACAGATATCTCAATAGCTATTTTTAAATATTTGCTTTATGATCTAACTAACAAATTAGCTTAACTTTCATTTATTTGCATTAAACTTAATCTGATCTTTGTAATCTATTGGGATCAAAAAGGTATTCGAGTATAGAAATTATTTTATAAATTATATATATACAAATTTATATAATAATTTAATATCTAAAGATTAGCACCTTCAATATTAATCTAACTAAAAAAGAAGTGTATGACGTTCCATATTGAAACCATTGTTTCCATTCTTATGGTCGAAATACTGATTTTTTGGGTGGAAAATTAGGATCTTGATTTTTGGTAAAAATATGATTTTTCCTTTCGATTTTTGGCTGTAACTTGAACAAAAATGGCCGCAAATCAAAAAGGAGTACTGTTTTGAGCAGCTTACAACCCTATAATTAATATCAGTGCACTTTGCGAATGATTTAAGAAAATTAATTTTCGACATCAATTTTCGCATTTTTGGTAAGGGGTACCATCATGATTTTTTGCGAAAAATTGCAAAAATTAAAAATTTCCAGGTTAAAACGCCAATCGATAGGGAATTTTATTACGAGATCAACGAGGTATGGCATTCCATATTTGGACCATTATTTCCATTGTTCTGGCCAAAATACTGTTTGATTTGGGGTAAAAATTAAGATCTCGATTTTTGGACAAAAATTTGATATTTTTAAAATTGGGTTTTTTGCTGTAACTTGGACAAAAATGGTATGTTATATTTATATTATGTACTTAGTTCAAGTAGTTCTAGCAAATAATAAGGAACTGATTGCTAACTGATATCTGCTTTATCTTATCTACTTGTTTACCTGTTGGTAATCCTATGAATCGGTTATTACAACGACTACCTTTTCTAATATTTGTTGTAACTATAAGCGATAAGGAAATTACAGTAATTTCCGAGATGAAATATATATATAATATTAATAACTAATATAATACAAAAATATTACATATCTAAACTAATATAAAATTGGAGCTTTAAAAAACGGTCAGTAGCAAATTTCACCCAGAACGGATTGACATAAAAATCTAAAAAAAACATTAATTACTAAAATAATTAGGAGCCGCGTGTGAGGTACAAATTAGAACAAAAAATAGAATATATTTTATAATAATCAAAATAAATTTTCTAAAATTATTTATAATATATCCAATATCCAACTTGAACCGCTTTTATCCTTCCAGCCAGGACTACATTTCCCTGGAGGATGCCCTGCTGACCATGCGAACCCTGGGCCGTTTCCACGGCGTGGCCCTGGCCTTCAGCGCCCTGGACAGCGAGAACTTCGAGAAGGCGGCCGGGGCGCTGGAGGAGACCTACTACGGGGAGCACACGCGCGAGTGGTACACCGGCTTCCTGCTGCTGGCCGAGAATGTGGCCAAGGACGCGATTAAGCAGGTGTATCCCGACAGCAAGTACGAAACGGTGGCCGGCAACTTCCTGCAGCCGCCGCTCTTCGACGACCTGATCAACCTGGTGTCCACGCGCTCCAAGCTGAGTGTCTTCGGGCACGGCGACTGCTGGACACCGAACTTCCTGACCAAGTACAACGAGCAGGGGCAATCGCAGGAGATCATCATCATTGACTTCCAGCTGGCGCGCTGCTCCTCTTTGGCTTTGGACCTCAGCTTCTTTGTCTACTCGTGCACCAGCCAGGAGCTGCGGGAGCAGCACTACGATGAGCTGCTGCGCGCCTATCTGGCCAGTGCCCAGGAGCTAATCGCGGATCTGGGCGGCAACGCGGAGGCCATCATCTCGTGGGAATCGCTGCAGGAGGAGCTGAAGAACTTCGGACGCTTTGGCTGCGGCATGGGCATCGAATCGCTGCCGATGACCATGATGGAGGACGAGGAGGTGGCCGATCTGGACGGGATCAAGGAGAACGCCATTCTCACGGACATCTGGAACATTACGCCCTTCAAGGAGCCCGCCAAGCAGCAGCGTTTGGCCGACATCTTCAAGCACGCCATCGATCAGGGCTACATTAAGTAGGATGATCAAATCGAATCTAGTATTGGGCATCTTTTTATATGATACTTGTAACCCATTAAAGCCTTATTCCAAAAACATGAAGGATTGTATTTTACAGTGTGAGCAAAGTTGTTGACATGTGTGTCAAATACAAGAGTGTTAGAATGTGAAAAATACACATCTTCCTTGTGTTTTTTTCACAATGTGTTATTAGCACGACGGGTTTTTTACACACTGTGTTTTTAACACAAATGAAAATTAGAATTCACGGTCAGTGAATTTTATACATTTTTCAGTTCAACATACAATTTTGACACTTTAATGTGAAAAACTTATTTTGTAAAAAACACGCTGTGTAAAAAACACGTGTAAATAACACCAATGACATGTGTGTGTTATTTAAGTTTCTAACATATGTAGAATACAATTTTTACACACAAGTCAATAACTTTTTTTGAACATAACACTTTGATATTTAACACGTTAATAACACACGTTTTTTACACTGTGTGTTATTTTCCAAAACCCTGTTCCAAACACACACACATCGGCTGGATTAAAAACAGATCTTTATGGGCAATAACTGATGAGGGGAGAGGGTAACATAGGCTGAAAGGAGGTATCTTCAAAGGCACTGGCCCTCGTGGAGGACGCACCAGTGCGGGATGACCGCGTCCGCATGGATGCCGCGGGCCAGGAGTCGCTCCCGGTAGCGATAGAACCTCCGCTGGGCGAGCAAAGCAGACGACTTGGGATTGGACCACAGACGCTCGGCGGCAGCTCCGGCTCTCGGCCAGATGCGGGATTCTACAGGGGGGATTTCCAATTAGTTAAGGCTTTCAATCTCTTTACAGACTACCTACCCAGTGAGTTCTGGTCCACATACTCGCTCCACATGCACACCTCGCCGCCCAGCACCTGATCCTTGCTGCGACCCATGGGCATTGCGCTCGAGTAGACCGTCCGCCAGTTGTAGTAGGAGGTGCTGCCCCAGAATCCGTGATCCAAATACCAGGCATTCTTGGTCGACACAATCAGCCGGTAGCCCCGCTGCAGGAGCTCCCGATTCAGGGCATCCTGCGACTCCACCCAGGTCTGAATGATGAAGCGCTCCTTGGGCAGATAGGCCTCGATGTAGCGCGGATTGGTCAGGTGACTGGACCAGATGATCACCGACTTGGGCTCCCTGATGCCCGGATACATGCGCTCGTTGATCTCGTCCCAGGCATTGAGATTCCTTTGATGAAACTGCGACCACAGGCGCAGGAAGCTCTGCTCGCTGAGATCGAAGCCCCGGGCACGCATTCCATCCCTGATCTCATCGGTGTTGTTCCAGCAGGGCAGGAAGACCTCGTCGCCGCCCATGTGGAGGGTCTCCTCCGGCGCCCCCACCTCGGCCACGTCCTCGAGAATCTCCTTCAGCACGGCGTACATGTGATCGTTCAGGGGATTCAGTTGGCCGCACGGCGGCTGCACGCAGAATCTCCGCCAGGGCGACTGATTCAGGCACACGGACATGTTGCCCAATCCCGCCGAGGGTCCCCACTGCCAGCCGTTGCCCGCATGCGAGGGCCCATCGATCTCGATCAGGATGCGGATGCCCCGGAGCCGGGCGTACTTGACCAGATTCAAGGCATCCTGGCGGGAGTAGGTCTGCGCGGAGGAATAAGCCCCGTAGCGCTGCATCTCCGGCACGCGGGTGATCTCCAGCGGGAAGCTGTGCGTGTCCACCACATGCCAGTGCAGCACATTCAGCTTGCTGGCGGCCATGGCATCCAGCGTGCTCCGGATGAACTTCAGGGGCACAAAGTTCCTGGCCGTGTCGAGGAGCACCCCGCGATGCGGGAAGGCAGGACGATCTGTGATGTTGGCCGTGGAGGTCATCAGCAGGCCATTGGACTGGCCGCCGGTGACCAGGTTGCTCAGCGTTTCGAAGGCATGCCGGGCTCCGTAGACCGTCGTCGCCTGAATGTCCACAAAGGTGGCCGTGTCCGTGGTCCGCACCACCAAAGCGTAGCTCTCATCGGTGGGCCAGTCGAGCACGAGACTCTCGTTGGCCACCGTCGACCTGACCAGGATCTGCTTGCTGCTCTCCAGCGTGCAGTTGCGCGTGCATTCCTTCAGGAGATTCGAGACGAACAGCCGGTTCGTCTCGCGCAGAAACTGGGTGGCCGCCTCGCCGGGCGCCACCACATGGAAGCGCACCTTCCACGGATCGAAGCGCACCCGGCCGTGCGAGATGCTGCACTCCCTGCCCGTGGGCATCGGCCAGATGGCCCCGTACTTCCCGCACGACAGCCGGCAGTCCCGCTGGCTCTCAAAGACCTCCGGCGCGTACTGGAGGCCCTCGACCTTCTCCGCCTCCGAGGTGCAGATGTCCGTCCGGCTGCACAGCCACTTCCTAGAAATATATATTATTGGATTATTATAAAGGATTTCTATATTATAACATTAATATGTGGGATATTGTGTTATATAGGATACTACATTTTATTATACTAATTATTTTAGTAATTAATGTGATTTTTTTAGATTTTTATGTCAGTCCGTTCTGGGTGAAATTTGCTACTGACCGTTTTTTAGAGGTCCAATTTTATATTAGTTTTATATGGGGTTTTATATTGTTCTTATGTATATGTATTATGTATATTATGTATATGATTATTGTATACGATATTTTATTACTATTATACAGGATATTATATTATTAAAATTATTATATAGGATATTATATTAGTCTTACAGAGAATATTATATTGTTATTCTGTGAAACACTTTAATATTATTACTTGGCATATTGAAACAACAAAATTAAAATGAAATTAAATATTTTACTTTTGAAATCAAGGTTCCAATAATAAATAATAATATTTATTTGAAGCTGATGGAGCTTATGTTGGATAGAAATCTTAGCTCATCTAAGCCTACGCTTTAGTAAGTATATTTGGTAAAAATATAGGGTCTATATAGGCTCAGTAGTTTGGGTTCATGCTTTGACTATTATAAAAATATGAACTGTTTTATATAATATTTAGAAGATAATAATAGTTCAGTAAATTATTATAGAATATTGATTCCATTTCTTATATTTAATATATATTTAGTTTATTAGTAAAAGAAAATTAAATATGGAATCAAATCACGTTGGCCCTGAATCCAAGTAGTCGACGACCTAAGATTCAAATCGAAATTCCCAGCTGTCAAAGGCTGGTCCCCAGGCCCAGGTCCCAATTTATTCAGTCTTTCAGCTGACTCCATACGAGCAACACCTAAAACTAAAAGCCAAAAACTGGCAGTCCCTTTGGTAAGAAAAAAAAAAATCACTTAAAATCGAAACAAAAAAATCTATACATAAAAAAACACTTTTATTTCCTAGGCGGCCGAAAATTCAATAGGCGGAATTTTCGGAAGAGGCCAGGGGACCAGTGATACACACACTCTACACACTCAAAAGTGTGGGGACACTTAACACATACACTGGGCGCTTCTACATCCCCACGGGGACTCTCGCCGGTAAGCTGCATAAAATTAAACACAATATCAAAACAAAAAATTAAAAAAAATATATAATTCTCCAGGCGGCTTCGAGATTTGGATCTTTAAAAGAAGGTTAGGGGACATTTGACTTTTACACTGCACATTTCTACAGACCTACGCGCTTTCTCGTCGGTGAGTACAGCCCTAAATATTAAGTGACTATAAATAAATTTAATATCATAAATAAGAAAATAATATTCAAAATCTGTATAAAATCTATAATTTATAAAAACTTTATTTTCCCAGGCGGCTTCTTAAAGAGCGATTTCAAAAGAAGGTTAGGGCTCTTAACGATTCAGTGGAAACTTCACGAGGTGAGTAAAGCTCTTAATATTAAGTGGCTTAAAAATAAATCTAATATCTTACATAGGATACAAAAATCAATATGTACAAGGTGGATCGATATATCTTGTTAGGCTACACTGAACACACTCTTTTTTCTGGTCAACATGATGTGTATGAGTGCATTTTAAACAAAACTCTAATGTAACACGAAACGATGGAAGAACATGCTGTATTATCCTCCTCAACATCGGAAAAGCGGCATTACAAAACCATTATACACTAAAATATGATTGATTTCTAAGAAGCTAATAAAACTTGCTCCTGTAAAAAGAAGTATTTTTTTCTATGATATAGATGGGCTTTAGATATAGTTCAATATGGAATTACATATTTTTGTGAACTAATAAATAATAGAAAAATCATACATTCTGTATAATATAATTATAAAATAAAAATAATAAAAATAAAATCATCTGGATGATACGATTAAAAACTTAAATATTGGACATATAGACCGTAGTTTTTAAACAGATACCGATAAGTAACAAAAACTAGCATCTTTTACATTGGTTTCTTGATTAGTTTTTTATCTCTTTGGGGTGATAAGTTAACAAGTTGGATGATAAGTTTCATTAGTTACATTTCATTGACATGAACGTATTGATTCAACACTAATTAGATCTTGTAAAGCAATTTTCTTAATTTAAGATTAAAAAACAAAGTTTCACTTAATAAAAAATAAAAAAGGAACACAAAGTAAATTCTGATTTTTTTCTCTTGTGTAGAAAGTCAGTAGTTTCTTTTTTTTATGTCACTGCCAAGAATTTGTGATTGTTGCACTTCCCCTCTGGCTTAAATAAATTCGCTTGGAACGAAATCAATTAGGCGTCTTAATTGAATTTAACACAGTTGCAATTTCAGCTGTTTTTTTCTAATTTTTTATTTTTTGAGCCTGGTTTCACTTGTTGCGAACCCGGACCCGACTCGGTTGAAGGTAAATTGGCATTCTAATGGCATTCGGCACAGTTGTTTTAATAATTTGTAAGAAGAATTAGCTGCTTTTCGATTTGCCACTATTTTGTATTATTTTAAAAAATCTTTTTTATGTATAAAAAAATATTTTATAAATTTGAATAAAAGAAGGCACATTTTTTGTTTTAGGGATCTTGGTCCTTTTTAAGAAATTTCACTTGTTGCTGCTGCGATGTCCTTTCTAGCGAGGACACAAACCGACACAACTTAGCCGCGACAATCACTATCCTCCACCGATAGATGGCGCTATTATTCATAGTAATTCCATTTTTGTACTTAAAAAAGTATTATTGTTATAATATTAATATTATTATTTACGCCAATGTCCTTGATCCATCCGGGGGCGGGTCATCCGCCCGCGTCAGCGCCGCGCCCACCGCGAAGCAGAGCAGCAGCGAAGCAACCGCCGAGCAGAAGCACTGATAACGGTCGAAATAACGGTGGTGGCCGCTGAACCGCATCGTTCCTTTCTAACGGCTTCCTCGGCTGCGCCGGCCGCTTTTATAATTTTTTGTATTTTTGGTATTTGGTATTTTTCGCCGCCTGCTCACCGCCCACCCGCTCCGCTCGCCGGGCGCAACAAAACTGAAAGGCAGAAAGGCAGAAAAGCTGAAAAGCTGAAGCTGAAATCGAATGAGCGACGAATAAAGTAAATCCGGCAAAATTTCACTTGCAGCGCAGCGGCAACAACAACAAGCCGGGCTTATATTGAAGCGAGAGAGAGAGCGAAGCGAAAGAGAGAGCGGAAAAAAACAAAAAGAGCGACTGGTTACACAGCAAAAAAACGAGGTCCTTTCACTAAAAAGCTTAACAATTTGATTTTTATAGTTGTAAAAATGGAGTATTTTTAATTTGTTAAAAAAAACTTATATCGTCTAAATATATAAAAGTCTAGAAAAAAACACGGGAAGTATCAAAAATCAACCAGAATAATATAATACAATTATAATAAAATCCCCATTTAATTTGAAGAGCAAATCGAGAGGGGATCCTTAAAATATATAAGATCCTTTGATCCATAGCTCCAAGTGAAAGCGAAAGCAAACACAATCAAAAGTACTTCTAAATACAAAGGTTTTTAGGTTAATTTTATGCATCCACAGTTATTCGCAGACTTTTTCTGCCCGTGTAGAGCTCTGCAATCAGCATATCCCCCACTCTTTGACACAAAACCCCACCCCCTGGCGAGTGGCCCATATACGGAAGTGGTGGGGTGAGTGATAAAATGGGAAAATAAATATATATACGGTGCAAGAACCGCAACAACAACAAATATCAGGGGCTTGAGAACTGCCAGCGAGCAAAACGCCAAAGCAAAAATATAGGAATTCTCTATAAAAAAAATAGTTTATCTGTTTGTTTTCTTTGGGGAGTAATCATGTGTATTTATGCAAAAGATAAACGAGCTAATAATAAATTTTTAAAAACTTACAGAATAATAATTTTTAAAATTTAAATAGGAAATTTATTAAAAACAGAATGAGAAAAATAACTAGACATATTAATTCTTATGAAATCGGGAACCTTTAGATACGGTAAAGTTTAGCTATCAACATTTTGGCAAAGGAAATAGTACTCAACGAAGTTACCTTAATTTTCGGCTATCTATTCAGTTCCTAGAAACGCTGGTGTCGATTGAATGAGCCATTCCGTTGATAACCAACTTTCATTAAACAAGTACTGGGGTCTTATCCACTTTAGTCGATTCGTTTGACACAACTATAAAACTTGATAAGCCATATCAAATCACGTCCGATTGTTAATTAAAAATAAGTTAATATCAATATCATTAAACTGCTTTAAGTAGCTTTGTATAATCATATTATAAATATTTTAATTATCTGCAAACAAAATCCCCTTACTGATATCTACGAAACATTATTTGTACTTCTTATTATTTTTGCTTCTGTTTATAAGTTGGATTTGTTTTCGCATTTATATAATTGTACTTTATTATCTTAAAGTCGAAGATACAGTCCAACCCGCGACTATAAGACAATCTGGTAAAAAAATGTAATTGGAAAATATAATAAATATAATATAAAATAATTAGAAATTTTAAATATTAAAATGCATTGATAATTTTAACCAGTCTATAAATAAATATATTTATCTAGCATAATTTCATCCACGAAACGCACTGTGTTTCCACCCTCATTATGATTTCGATAAAAGCGCTGAACAAGTTGAAAACAAAAAACAAAAAAGATGAAAATGAAAAACATTATTTGTGTGTGCGACTGGGCATTGTTGATTATTATTTTATTGTATTCGGCATTCGCACATCTAGTTCTTATATGGTATATGGTTCTCCCTCTTTTTTTATTAATAACATGTATTATTATGTGGTCGCTGGCTGGGATTCCAATTCCTATTCCGATTCCAATTCCATTTCCATTTTAATTCCATGGGCGCCTTTTGTGCGCCTTCCAAATGAATTTTGAATTATGCGATAGCGCCGCCTTCGCTCTTTATTCTTTATTCTTGGGTCCATTGTTGCTGCCCGTGAGCATGTGTGAGTTTCTGTGTTTAGAATGCAAAATTATAATAATTAAAAAAGAGTACGTGCCAGTGCTGCAATCGCTCGACTGAGATATGAGGTGTGGATGCGGGTGGAGCGATAGTTTTAGTTTTAAGACTGCTTTTTTATAACCATTTGAATGGACCAACATAATAAAAATATTTTATATTATTATACAATATTTATGCACTTTAAAAATTGCGTTATTATTTACCGTGTTTATCAGTGAAGGATTTTAAAACGTTTTTGTTGCATACTTTATATATACCACATTTTCTTGCATTTTTTACTCGTAGATACGCACATAGATTTAAGGTATTGGTAGATTTTTTATTATATTTATTTGCCACCACAGGATTAATAACCACTTAAATATTCCATTTTTTTTTAATTTATTTTTTAGTATCACATATTCATAACTTAATTAAAGGTCAGCTATTGCTTTTATCTACATATTCCTCACGCTCTCATCTCTACAAATTCACACATGTGGGCAGACCAAATGAGTTTTGCCCAACTCGGACATCAGGTCCTGAAAGGGAATCAGCAGGACGAGATGGAGCAGGATATGGATACGGATATGGGATGTGGGTGGTGGGAGGGGAGTAAAGTCATGATGAGGAGCAACTGCATCTGTTCCTGTCGCTCCAGGACAATGCAGATGCACAGATGCGGATGCACTGGGGAAAATCGAAGATCATAACTAAAACTTGTTTGTTTACTTATATATATACGATTTTATACCATTTACTGTGTACATATAAAGTTTGCTTAGTAATCTAATTCAATAGCACTAAGACGCATTTTATTTTCTTTTATTAATAATAATAAAAATTGTACTTTTTATTTATCAACCACATTTAAATATTAAATGTGAAATATACTGTTGTTTTGTGTTTTATTTTGAATGGAATTTATTATGTACTAATATGTGTAATTATTTCTAAGTGTATTGAAATGAGTGGAGGGGGATGTGAGGATGGGGGGAGGGGTTGGGGTCCGTCGCCACTGATTATGATGTTGATTACATTGCGGCTGCTCTTTCCCCCTCCCCCTTTACCTGGTCCTCCGCACTCACTTTCGAGTCACGCCCCTTTTAACCACAAAAAAAACTATTTTTTAATGGAACTTTTAACAATGTGATATTGTGACAATAAAATGTTTCATATTTTCTAGAAAAACTTTTTTTTAATAAATTCTTAAAAGTTTGTAGAAATTTGTGTTTGTTATTTTATTTTTTCGTGAATTTTCCGCGATATGATATTATAATTTATAATATTTATTTATATTTTGTAAAACAGATATTATTAGACAGAAAATATAAAAGAGCATTATTTAGGTCATTTAAGATGATATTGAATTTATAAAAATCATTTATACAATTTGTTTTCTGTGCAGGACCTAGGACCAGATGCAAGTCCTCTGTCCGTCAGCCGCTAGGTTCTTCATTCCGGTTGCGTCAGTCAGCGTTGACTGCCCCCCAAAATCCCCCCTCGAAAGCCCCGCCCCTGGATGCTGCTGCTTAGAACAATGCAAGATTAAAAAACTGTAACAAATTACAAGCAAAACGGCAAATAAATTACACAAAAAACCGAGAGCTGGGAAAAAAAGAAATAACATGAAAATCAGCAGAGAAAATGCAAACAAAAAGCAAGCGCAAAAAGTTGCAGCTACCCCAAAAGGGGGGCGGGCAAAAGGGGGCGTGGCTGAGGTCAGCGGCCCTAGGGGTTGTCATATGATTCCAATGGGGTTGGGGTTGGAAAATGGGGGGCGGCGGCATGTGTGCAAATGCAAAGTTATAGGAAAAGTTAATTTGGGCTTTGTGTTTTGTTGGGGGGATTAAAAGAACGGACTTATCCCTTATCTCATTTAATCAGAGTTTTTCACTTATGAATGCTATAAAACGTCTACAAGAATTTAGTGCTCTGTTTTTAAATGCTATTTTTTTTTACCTATTTCATTGTTTTTAGGATTTAACTTAAATTAGCTTAAATTTAATAACATTTTTAACGGTATTTAAAAAACCTGAAAGCTACAAGAATTAAATATAATAAATATAAATACATTTTAAATCCATTAATCACATAATTTAAAAATAAATAATCTGCTAACGTGTCTAAATCCATTTATTAAAACTGAAATATCTTTTATTTGAGACAATCTAGAGTTATGTATTAACCTGTACGTGTTTTATTTCTTAATTTGCTAAAAATGTCTTCTTTTCTTTTATTTTTTCCACACAAAATGTGTTACATGTTTCAATGCAAAAGGTAAGAAATATTCTGAATTTTAAAAGAATTAAATTAAATATTTATAAATGTATTTAAAAGATCATTGAAGAAAAGAAGGGTTCTCAGTTTGTCGTCGTTTTTTTTATTGTCATTTGTTTATTTCTTTTGCAGTTTTATTGTTTGCGATGGGCACAGGTGGCTGACTAAACGTTTGGCCTTTCGAGGGGTGGGTGGCAAAGTGGGCGGTGGGCTATGGGCGGAAGGGGGTGTCGAACTGATCGGAAGTGGATGAGGTTTATTCGGCCGCTGTGGTTATTGTAGTTCTTGCTTTTCTTGTTGTTGTTGTTGTTGTTGTTGCATTGCGTCCGGGGACCGTCAAACAATGCAAATTGCATGAATGAATGCCATTTTGCATTTCATTTCAATGCCCACCGCCCCCTGACCCCTTTGACCCCCCGGCTCACCCCCTTTTTTCTCTTTTTTTTTTTGCTCTGACGGCCCTGGTGAACCTGACTGCATTCTATTTTTCTTTTGATTAAATCAAATGCATAAAATGTTTTCAAATCAATCAGAAAGAAAAAAACAACACGAAACCAACTACCAGAGTACAAGAACAACGACGAAGGAAGTTTTGGTTTTGTTTAAAACTTGGAATACTCTTTCCTAAAGTTAAGATTATAATATATTATATTTATTTTACTTAGTCTTTTCTTTGGGGTTTCTAATTTATTTCCAATTAAATAAGCCACGGGAAATCATTAAGGATTCACTGAATGCATTTGAATTGTATTAGCTTGCATTTGATTTGGGCATAAAGTCAAGGTTACCTTACTTTGC